CATCGTCGGGGATGATTTTTGAAATCCGGGATTGAGAGTAATTTTTCTTCGTTACTGCTAAATTAGCCAACTCTCGTCCGATATTGAACTCGATATTCTTTTTTTTCTTTTTTTTCTTCTCAGTTGTCCCATTTTTGAGGTTACTTATTGTATTTTGGATTTATTATTTTTTTTTGGGTCTCTCTGTGTACATCACGTAATATTAAGTACGGTGTGATATTATTGTGATATTGTGGAATTATTGTTAATAACTTTGATGGATAGATATATAATTTTTTTTGGTCTCTCTCCCTCAATCTCAGAGCGGATCATGGTTGCTTTTTTTTGAAAATTATCACGATTATTACTCTTTTGTTGAATTTGTGAGACAATATAGACCCGTACATTTCAGCATTAAATTTTGGCCTTGCGTGTCTTTCTTTTAGGATAAGAGCCCAGTGACCCGTTCTCCACCTGAACCTACCCCTCTCCACAACCGACACCCTGAGCAGCGCAAGCACCCTGTCACCTTTCCCTTGGCCCCCTTAGGTTTAAGTTTTGTTGTGTTCGAATTTTTGGTTTCGTTGTACTTTATTGCTTCAGTCTAATTTCGGTTTGTTGTTTCCGTCGAGACAAAGAACAACTGGCGCCTATAATGATCGAGTTTCAGTTTTCTGACATTGCCAAGGGAAAAGGGCGACTTAACGTCCGTTTTTATCCCCAGTAAAAATTGGCCACGTTACAAGTTGGAAAATCATTCAGTGAGCACAGAAATTCAGAATTACTGAATCATTTATTGAAATTGAACAGGTGATGAACCGATAAGCTTTGCGTCTATTAATTTTAACACTCAGTTTAATAAGACAATGATAAATCATTAATTTTTGAAAGAAATGCAAGTAAAAAAAGAGGAAAGGCATAGGAAAAGGCAAGGAAAAAAATTATAATGAAAAAACATCAACGCTGGCCGCCGCGGCGCTAGTTTACTTAAATTTTAAAGAATCCACACTATTTAATATTAGTGACAGATGAAATTCCTGTTTGGCAATTCATAATGCAATTGCGCGAAACGTTTGAGAGTATTTGTTAAGAGTTCACGAACGTAAATAACTTATTGATTTATCGTTCGTTCAACTAGAGGTTGGTATACATTATATGTAAGACGAGAAAAAATTATAAGTCAACTTTGAATAAATTGATCTAATATATCTATTCGAAAATCGCATGGCAAAATTATATAATTTGTAATAGAGATTGCTGAAAAAACACTAGAAATTGAAACAGAATTCTAGCAGACTTCCAATGGAGTTCCAATATAACACCAATTCCCAAACAAGACATGAGAAACAGCGCGGAAAACATTTTACTCTTACATCACTTAATCTGGTGGTCTTTTTATAAGTAATGAAATGGAGCAGTAACGTTTTCATTGGATTTTCGATAATAAAAATACCAAAAGGCCATTTCTATAGGAAATTACCTCGACTACAAGAAAGATCTTTCAGCATTTTTTCGATCAAACCAATTCCAAAACATTTCCAAGATATTTGCATCATTAGTAAAAATTGTCATATTGGTTTTTTCCTATAGACTTAAGAACTAAAGTAGTTACCCTGTTGAGGTGTTCGTAGCATAATCTTGCAGCTAAGAGACAGGGCATAACTTTCTGGGGAGAGAGTTTGGCAACAATTCGGAGAACTGAATAAGCATGAGTGTACCTCCCAAGATGAATTGAGCATAATGCATATTGAGTCCAAACATGAACTTCCTCATGGGAGAATTTCATCGCTCTCTCAAATGACTGTTAACAAATAAATTAGTATCATATCATCAGCATGTTGGTCTCGTTCGCATCGGGATCTTAAAAAGGGAAAAATGATGGAACATTTTCCACATTATATTCATTTAATCTCTCGTCACTGAATGCATTTAATGATAGGGACCTTTTGTATGGAAATGTCGGGCATTCGTTTGTATGAAACAAATTTGATTGGCAGGAATCTCTTTTTTTCTCAGTGTAGAAGAAATCAGCAGAACTTCTTTGTGGAAAATCTTTATAGCTATAAAGAAAAACCAGAGACAATTTTTCCAGAACAAAAATGTCACGTTTCAATAATCTAATTATCGTGTTGATCAGTTTCATTAAAACAAATGATCAAGAAATTATTTTCCAAGAAAATTTTTTCATCTGCCAAATTACTCGTTCCTAAGATACATGCATAATTAACAATGATTGTACTTTCTACTCCAATACAACTTATTCTATTGATTGTTTCATTATCTTAGTAACGAGTGGAGTTGAAAAATCATCGAAAATTTGTTTTTTGGAGGTGACAGAAATCTTTTATAAAACAGGTCTTATGACGTGATTTAAAACATTTTATTCGCAAGATAAATTCAGAGCGAATGGAAATTTTACAGTTTGCTCATAAATATAACTCATTTAGTTGATTTTCCAACCATTGAAAGACATTTTTTTTAGAATGAGTAAATTTTCTACAGGAGAGGTTTTATGAAATTTTCTCTCTATCGTACTCCCTTGTTAGGCAAATCCATAATTACCAACAAATTCGCATTCAGGATATCCAAGTACTTTGGCTATTTTTTCTCCAATGAAATGCTGTTCTACTTTTGTAGTCGAACATCAAAGCTTTTTTTCGAGCCCCATTTGACCGTAAGTTTTCGGACATTTTAGAATGATTTCATTATTCAAAAACTTTGCAGATTTGAATTTGAATCTCGATATGGAACCATTAGAAAACATTAGAAAACAATCCGAAAAAAGATTAGCAGATTTACTTTTGGGAAGATTACTGAAATAATTAAAAAATTATAATTTTTTGAACACCATTCAAGGGGGGGGGGTTCTGAAGGAAGTGTAGGACGACTAGAGAATTCTTAATAGGGAGGAGTCAATTGTAGAGCTACTGGGAGGGGGACCGATTCCGGAACGGTAAATTCTTCAGAGCGTGGGAGAAATAGAGAGAAATACAGAGAGA